TTTTTGTGGGTTCTAATAAAAATTGTTCTTCGATTTCGTTTTTATCTTCTCTTTGTTCATCGTAGAAAGGCGTTGAAGTCTCTAGAAAACAATATGTTAAAAATCTATACAATTATTTTAAAAGGTTCTACCATCTATTCTCTCTTCAACAATTTCTTTTTCGTTAATTCGTGCTTTATTTAGTTCTGTTTGTAGATAGTTTTCGATTGAAATGAGAAAAAGATTTTTGAACGTATGTGTAGTGTAGTAGTCACCATAGTTCATTAGATATGACGCAACTTGAACACCTGAAACTTCTTGTTGTGAAGCAATCATATTGAAGCAGCGTGACACTAGTTTACGCGATTTTTCAACAATATTATCTGTGGTATTAGATGTTCGTTCCTGCTCAATAGATTTGATACCTTGTTGTGCCACCACAAACATATCGTGGAAAACCAGAGTAGATTTTGTTACATAATCAGTTATATAGTAAAGTAATGCTTTAGGGTCGTTACCACTCCAAATGAACTTCATGTCCCTGTTCGATCGACACACACTTAAGAACCATTCGTTGAAGTTATTGATCCACGAGTGCGATCGACGCATGGTTATCTGACCTGTTGTAAGGTCAATATTAGAAACATTCACTAGTGCGCGTGGCATACCCATTCGACACCTTTTTGAACTATCATTCTTGCCTTTAGAATATTTATAGCAAGTTGCAGAATGCTTGTGAATATTGCAGGTTTCGACCAATTGAACTACATCTTTGCGAAACGTTTGATCAAAGACTTGCAACGCAGGATTTGGTGTTGAGAGACATGCTGGTATAACTTCACTTGCTATTGGCTCAGTTTCTCCTAAAATGAAGCGAAGCTCATCATTAAAGATTCTTAAAAGCTTCAGAGCTCACCATTTAATGTTCTTCTGTCACTGGTTGTACTTGTTCCGTCGTTGGTTTCATCTTAAAAAAGAATACTGATATTTAAAAGTACAAAATTTAGAAGTCTCAAATATGTAGTAAGAGTAGATGATTGGAATGAAATATATTTTGGATTAATGAAAATTTTGAAAATGTTCTGAAACCTCAATTCAAGGCAAGGTAGTGATACACTATCAGTGTGTAAAACAGTATCAAGTAGGCAAATATAAAAACTTCAAAACACAAATTCAAACAATGTTAAATATATTACCTCGAAACAAACCTAAATCTTCTTTTGTAATATCTTCTAAATATTTTAGTAAATTTTCACGAAAATCTTGATTTTGTATATTTTCTTTCAACTGTGCTGAAGTATATTCATGATTGAGCCAAATCAAGAGATGTAAATAGAGCGATTCTCTTCCTTGACTCTCTACAGTGCCGAAATACGCTTTTGTAGGACCGAGCACACCACCGACCACTAGGCTTTTCAGAACGTTTTTTATTAAACAGTTGAAGAACTTTGCAGTTTCTACAGGGTGCGTCGCGACAATTTGAGCACGCTCATAACTTGTACGCAGGACTTCTGGCAGAACGTGATCAAGATCAAGATCGACACCTCCAAAGTAAGGTGCCACTGGACTATGGATGTCAGCTGGATTGATTGTGAGGAAAAGACTAGGAAAACCAAGATAAAAACACAAAGAATGAATTTTCGTCCGAAGAGCTGATCGTGAATGAGCTGAGCCCATGACATGACCACCAATAATTTTGATATGCTTCATCAACGTATTTATTCTCTTGTCAGTAACTTTTGAATAAGGCGCTTTTGAGATATTAATAAGAGCTGCTGTTACATCTTCAGAGCTCAATGAGTTAAGAGCTTGTGCAGATTGTTGAAACCACGGTCTTTTTGTCACTAATTGGGCATGAAAACATTCTGTTCGACATTGTAAAATATTGAAGACAACAAATATGAATGAGTAGTGTTCTTCAAAACGGCGATATTTTTACGAAAGAAGATATCTGAGGTGCTTACGAAAATTGATTTGGACTGGTCGAGAGCAATCTTCAAATGCACCACCTCCATACGGAAAAAAAAGTAGGAAAGATACCAAAAAAAGATTTGGATTAGAATACTCATTGATCGGTTTATTATCACAAGCAATTATGCACACGGTATCTTGTACAGCGTTTTCCTCGATGTCTTTTTTCAACGTTTTATCATCCATTTGCACATTCATTCATTCATTTTGAAAGATGTTCAGCTAACGTCATGAGATGAAATTTTCATACCGTTAACATCTAAGATAGCACTACAACACAAACAATGGTAGATAAAAATATCAATGCCTTGTTACTATACGTCACACTTATCGGTATAAGTATTGTGGTGTTAGGCTCAGATGTATTGATCTGAGGGTTAAAAATATAAGTTGCCCTTCCATTTTCAACTGCTTCTACCTCAGTGGAAATTCCCATTGTTACCCAGGAGTACTCTGGGACATCGTCCTCAAGTAACTTGTTGATTGTTGATTGATTCATTATAACATATCGATGGAGTAGATTGTTTGGACTAAGTTATTGAACTCCATCAGAAACCTTTGTCTTTCGAACTGTCAAAATATCCTTTAGTTGACTTCTTTATGGAATCTGACAACCAACAAAAATAATTGTTAGAGAATTACATAGATCATCTAATTCTAATGGCAAGGTAGCAACTATGTTAATCACATTTTGAGAAAAGCTTATGCAGCTGCCTCTTAAAGGTGATTGAGGTGTACTTGTTGAATGAGCGGACGAATATAATTTCACAATCTAACTGTTGTGGTGCTAGAGACCAATAAGTCTTTACTCAGGAATGGTTAGTCCTTGTAATTGCTATGGCACATCTCTCATTAATACTTTATTGGCAGCTGAAAACTTGCGTACTTTCCTTTCACCAAAGATTATCAACACTTCGTAAAAATATCAGTGTACCGAAGATTATCTTTTTTTATCAATAGTTATATGCCAGCTTGCTCCATAGAGAAATATAATGTTTACGCAAGCAAACAATTGATCATCCATTGATGATTTTATATTCCTATCTATAATAAAAAATTTGCATTAATCTTGTTAGATTAAGTATTAAGTGGATCTAGGTGTGCCTAAAGAACTGATCCACTCATACTCCCACACCCACACCTACAGTTTGTCACAAAGCACCCTACATCCACACTCCATATTCAAAATCACTCTACACCTCACAAGCAAATTCACACCCACGCCTAGCCACAGCTAAACCCAAACCTACCACATCTCATACAGTCACACTTACATTCACCACACGCCATACACTCACATTCATACCCAGATTAAAAAGCAGGTAACTCTTGAAGCTAATCATCGCATCTCCAAAGAATCTGCTGTTTTTACTTTTTTTCTCAGCGTGTTTTAATCTTTGCCGATTAAACACACCTTTCCTCTAACTGCGCCAATATCTGTCAAAAAAAGCCCAACTATAAAGATAAAAATATTTTATTACCATGTCTCTTTCGTCAACAATAATCTTATCGTTGCTCTCTTCAAGCTTGTCTCTTCAATGATGAAGTAATCTATAAAGGGAGGCGACTTCGGCTGCATTTTCAGCGATTTTTGACTTTTATAATATTTCAATTCAACTGCTATACGTAAGTAAGTCTAAAGTCCAATATCAGGTAGGGGATCCATCAAAAGAGAGGAAATCAAGAAGCTGCGTATCAGGAACATGTAAATATGGGTAGGGATAGGAGTGACGGCTTCAGTGATGATCACAACGAAGAGAACACTCGCAATCGCGACGTGGCATCAATCCCACAGTCACACTCAGACATGTAAAGGCACAAACACGCGTGTGGGTGTAGATGTGGTTGCTAGTCTTGACTCAACTTACATAAGCACCCGGACCCTCATAGCCACAGCTACATCGGCACCACACTCACGCTCACATCCATCCTCGCACTCACACTCAATAGGAACGAGACTTGATATCTATTTTTCAACCACCGATTCGAATCTGCAAAGCTGTCAAAAAACTCCTCATAGCTTTTGAATTGATAGATGAATATCAGTGATTCTTTTATAAAAGCCAAACATTATCTAGACATGGCTTTTAAATATTTAAAAGAACGAACAACTGAGTTCAAATTAAAATACAGTTTCTCTTTAAGTTTCAATTTCGCTTGTCATGATATACTGATAAGGAAAATTTTTGTTTTTATTATTTTATTTCAGAGTAGCAGTACTTGAATCCATGCTAGTAGTTTACCAGAAATACGAAACTAATATGCCGCGTATTCAGATATCCATATCTATTGCAATATTTTCACAACCGGTATACCTTCATTTGTCTATAGTAAGAGATGTATCTCCGAGAATTTTAGACAGACAAATAAGTATCGATGAAAGTTTTCGAGCATCTTGAGAATTCATTTGCATAATCTTCAGTAAATCATAACCAGTATAGTGTGGTTTAGTGGTTATATCGCATATTAGTACGCACACTGAATTTGCTTTAGCTCTATAATAGCAGAGCCGTTTTGAACCGAATTCAGATCGTATATAGTCACGGTATGAAATTAACAAAGCGGAAATTTTCGACTCATAAAATCTTTACCTTCGTAGGTTATCCAATTCGTAGTGAAATAGAATTGCTCGTGTCATTTTACTTTGCGGTGCGCAGTCGAATAGCCACACGATTTTGTAAGCATCAAATATGATTCATACGATTATAAATGCAGTGAACAAACAGAATGAAGAAAAAGACGATCTTCGTAGGACTCGAGCCCAAACCTCCTGCTATCCGCGCGAATGTCCTAATCCACTTAAACTAGAAAGCAAATCTTAATCTTGATATAGCGTCACATGTATCATTATTGACGCTAACAGATTTTTGTTGTTGATCTAGATTTATTGGGTGCAATGTGAGTGTGAGTAAGAGTTACGGCAAAAGCTATGCAGATGTTGCCCCTCTAAAGAAAGAACATAAGACACATAAAAAAAAGGGAATAATATATTTGTTCACCTTAAATGGCTCAAGAGAGAAAAACTAAACTACTGTAGTAAATAATTAGGCGTCTGAGTCAGTTTTGTAGAAGTCATATATATTTCGAAGAACATGATGAGTGCAAGTTTAAAGAGCAAGTTTTGATGGCGCCCCATTCCTGCTACACCTCTCTCCATTACAGATCGTAATAACGGAGAACAGCAGATATCACATTTTCTAGGTTTTTTTTGCAACATGGATGACATTATAATTTTGAAAAATAATAAATATTACTATTTGTGCATTGATTAATTGAAATGATAGTGCTTGGGGCCTGCTGTAAATATCATGAACATGTAAAACAAACATATTTGTCAATTAACTCAATGATTATAATAATAAGAATATTAAATTAACAAAAAAATAAGAATAATAAAAAATAATGCGAGAATAGCAACAATGGAAACAAAAAGATAGAGAACCTATAGAAGCATTTAAAGATTCTTTTTGAAATGCAAAAATTAGAGAAGTCGTTACTCTGAATATCAATTATCCTGCAAAGCAGCTATAATATACGAGAGACCGATCACTTTATGGATTACATCTTATTTTAATTAGGCTAGAGATTATATATGAGGTCTATATTTTTACCATAAAGGGAGCTGCGCTAACAGACTTTTTCATGAAACAGAAGTAACAAAAATGACTTTTTTGGAGCCAGAGATCTCAATACTCATCTTGTTGCAAGCACATTTTCTTTTCAGGCGCTAACACAGGCCTTTTTGTCATTTTCGACTCCTTAATTTCAAATTTCAGACATTTTCAAACACGTGGAAGCGATACTAACACATTGATCAGACTACAGATAATTCTATAAGAATATTCAGCTGGACAAGGCGAGTACGCTGAATGTTGATGATATCAGATATCATGGGGATATAAAGCATATTTTGGACATGCTCAGAATATGCATTTTCCGCAGGGATTACCGAATAGGGGAATCTACATTTCAATATCTTTTAGAATAATGGGTTGTTTCATTCTACTCCTTAGCGTGCTGTCAACGAATCGTTTCTCGCACCTAGTACTTCTAATATCCTATCTTCAATGCAACTCATTCTTTCAGTAGAGGGTTAGCAGCGTTTGCGCTGCGTTACTTGTATGAGTATGTGTCTATCTGTGGCGAAATGTTACTGCTACTTTACATCATCCAATGCTCTTTGAATATTATTCCATCCTATATTCTAATTAATCATATCGTATTACCAGATGCATTTGCTGATCATTTTAATGTATTGTTTTTCAGATTACTTCGTTTGTTTAGGTATAATAATTGATCTAACAAAGTGAAAACAAAAATGAACGATTCATTATTAATGAAAGTACGTGACATGCAAACAGAATTGACAGTGATTCGTCAAGATATTCATGCTCATCCAGAAATGGCCATGGAAGAAGAACGAACAGCAGCTCTTGTCGCTTCTAAACTCAAACAATGGGGTTTAATGGTTACTGAAGGTGTTGGTGGATTCGGTGTTGTTGGTACATTGAAGAGTCTTCAGCCAGGTGATCGTTCTATTGGCCTTCGTGCCGACATGGATGCTTTGCAATTGATTGAAAAGTGCGATGTACCGTATGTTTCGACAAAAGTTGGTACAATGCACGCCTGTGGTCATGATGGACACACTGCTATGCTGCTTGGTGCTGCGAAGTATTTAGCCGAACATCGGGACTCATTCTGTGGAACTGTTCAATTTATCTTTCAACCAGCCGAAGAAGGACTTAAAGGTGCCATTGCTATGATTAACGATAATCTGTTCGAACGATTTCCTGTTGATGCAATTTATGGTTTGCATAATGGTCCAGAACAAATAGGAACATTCTCTATACGACCAGGCCCTCTAATGGCAGCATCCGATCGTTGGTATGTAACATTTCGAGGTACTGGTGGACATGGTGGAGCCGCACCACATCTTGCAACTGATATTACAGTATTACAAGCACAATTCATTATGGCGCTACAAACCATTGTTAGTCGTAATATCAATCCGACTGATCCAGCAGTGGTTAGTGTTGGTGCCATCCAGGGTGGCTCTTTTCTATCAGCTAATGTTATGCCATCTGAAATACGTATTGGAGGTACTGCACGAAGTTTCACTAAACCTGTTCGTGATCTTATCGAACGACGTATCAATGAATTAGCAAACAATCTAGCTACGACGTTTGGCTGTACGGCTCATGTAGAGTATAGTCGAGGTGGAGTCCCTCTTGTTAATCATGATGAGCAAACAAAACGAGCGATTAAAGCTGCTGAAGCCGTCGTGGGTACGGCAAATGTCAACAAAAACTCACAGCCTTGGATGGGTGCAGAGGATTTTGCTTTCATGCTTTTGCAACGACCTGGTGCTTTTATCCTCATGGGTATCAATGATGAAACAGTATTCGTTAAGTTGCATTCGCCTGATTATAACTTTAATGATGAGGCAATCCCATTTGGTGTCGCCTATTGGATAAGCCTTGTCCAGCAAGAACTCAACCATTGACTATTATCTTTATTTTTGCCCTATAGAATTATAAAATAAAAAAGAACAGTAGTTTTTTAATACTTTTAGGTTATTTTAAATCACTATCCCTCTGTACGACAGAGATTTGCTTAGTAGTTTTGTGATTATTAGTTAAATTTTAACGAAAATGTACGGATGATTAGCCTTTGGTATTATTTTTGACAACATCATATGAACTTTTCCTTATACCCAAGACAAACTTATGTCTGAAACTTTCTCTTTCTAGTAGTATTTAGATGGAATATCCTCTTACACTAGGGTACATGCTATCGTATGTCGAAAGTTTATAAAATGTGTCTACGACGATTGCATATAATGAAAAGCGTACGTAAATTTTTCTAGCCTTCAAAGATTAATGTCTCTATTTCTTAGAAATATTTCAAAATAAAAGAAGAATATTTGTTTTTCGAATAGTTCTCAAACAGAAACAGCTATTGATCTGCTGTTCTCAACATTAGAAAGAGGCTGACATTATATATCTTTCTATTTAATAGTCAATAAAGCCAGCTTACAAGTCTGATCGACCGTCAGAGAAACTCAAATTAGCATCTAATGTTCTTTGAAAAAATATATAGAATTTCATTTATATGGAGTGAATTATATGAACCTACTCAACATTTAAAATTCTAAACCAATCGAAAACTATTCCTTAGTGAAGTATAGTAATTACTGTCGACTATCTTCCTTCTTTTTTCTTTTGAACAAGATAGAATATTTGTTCACCATTGTTTTGTGTAATTACATTCTCATTGGTAGGTATTTGCTGCACTGCTAAATTCTAGAAAAATTAAGAAACTGAATAAATGATTTCTTTTATTTTTGAATCAATTGGAAAAAATTATAGGATGAAGTCCGTGTCGCATATTGAACTATCCATAGAAACTCATCTGATACTCAATAATATTATCAGATGACTATTATGATATGAAAGAAAGATTAAATTAACATGAATTCTTCGAGGTAATCCAATGAATAATTATCTAACTACAATGGAATAGGAGTCTTTTGCTGTGCTTGTTTTTGTTTCCAGACGTCTTGTATTCTTTGTTTAATTAATCGCCGTTTTTCTTCTGTAATTTGAAATTTAGTATGGTTTGTATTTAAACTTAAACTTAAATGGTTTCTCATACCATGTACCCTGGCTCAATTATGATATGGCTCTATTTTTAATTGTCGACTATTAAATATACCAGCAGCCATACTAAATGTACTTAATGCATTAATTAAAATATCATCGCGTAGTAACCGATTAAATGTTTCTGATGTTCGACCGTTTAAGAAAAATGATACATGACAGCGTGATTCAGATAAAGCTTGTTTTAAATCGATGAATACATCATGAAAATCATCTATTACACCTTCACTATAAATTGTGATCAAATACTTGTTTTGTAATTCAGTAGGTAATGTATTAATTATAAAAATTAACAGTGATGCATAAGCTGAAATCGCTATATAACGAAATAAATCACCTGATATTATACAACCTCGATTTTCTCGCTTGACAACATCACCATGACGTATGTGTACATCACTCAATAAAACATCATGCACATCAATTGATGAGCATTGAATAGATTGAAAAACATCGATGTTAACATTCTTATCTTCTTCAGAAACAGTCATACTGTTGTTATTAATGGTTGTATTTGGTGTAATATATTGGAAATAATCAATTGGGAAATAATTAGACAAAATGGAAATACCTGACCAAACACAAGTACGTTCATTGTACAATTTCCTATGCTGCAGCCACCATCGAATTTCAAAAACGACACCTATTTCCATTATTGACGAGGTGATAGTAAAAGTTTGACTAGAATAAAATGTAAAAACGATATTATTATTCCATTTGCTACTAGTATCTTGAAGATTAGTTATGAAATGATCGAATTTTGTTTTGAAATAAGACTTAATTGTAAACGGTTGTTTGCCATTATGATGTTGATCAAATGTTTGATTCGCTATTAAATTATATTGAAATATATTTCTTTTAACCAATGAATTGTGTGGACATGCATGATAAGTTGAATAAGGAATTTCCCAATCGAAAAATTGTCAACCTTTTTCTCTATTCTCTATCTATATTTTTTTCATCACCCGAATGTTTTGCAGTCCAATCTAGACGTATTAATGTCAAATTCAATTTATATGCTACATTGAAAACACCTAAATACCACATTAACTCTGATCCAGTACCATGTATACTACGACCTACTGATGCACTATTTAATAAGAAATAACGACCATGTTCACAATCAATAGTGGATGATATGTCAACAACATTGAGAATTTATTCTTTAATTTAGAAAAATAACGATTGATTGCTTGTTCAATATCAGGATGACATCGTGTGTCGTCAAACATACAGTCATCCAATAAGTTGTGAAACGAAGATAGATATAAAATATCAGAATGTGAAGTGTGTATTGGTGTTATTTTAACAAAGAAAAACAGTCATACTATACAACTGAAAACTAATAGAAATATGCAGGAAAAACAAGTACTTTGCTTGGATATAAGTCGAAGGAAAGTAAATAACAGACGTTGCACAAAAGAGATGCACATGCATAGAATTGTATACATCAATAATAGAAGAAATATTTCATAAATATAAAACCTACTATACACATCGGATTATCTTTTTAAAGAAATAAAAAGTTTTTTGATGATTTTTGTGTCTAATTGTCAATCTCAAGATTATGGTGAACTGAGAAATGGATTTCAACGTTTTCCTATAATAAATAGAAAAGAAACTGGATGAACTACATAAAATAAAATTGGTTTCACGTAGCATCAGAAATAGCTGCGGATTTACAAGAAAAAAATAAACATATGCTGAGGAAATAGAAATTGACTTACAATATTATTGCACAATAATTGTTGCATTCGAAAAAGAAGATGATGAAATGACTATTATTCATCATTCGAAATGGATGAGTACAAAGAAAAGAAACTATGGACCGACTGGGATTCGAATCAAGATAGTATCAAAACTAGTAACTAGCCAGACACTTTTATCAACTAAACTATCAAGACAACGTGTCAATTCCAATGCAAATTTAATGTGAACATTTACTTTAATCTTTTGCAGTCATATAACGAATAGAGATTTCGTTGTACAAAAACTAATTCTGATCGACATCGATAGTAGAGCATTTGAAATATGCCTGCTTAGTGTCGTTGAATTAAATTGTATATAATTATATATAAATATGTATGACAGGATTTTTTTTTTTTATTTGTATAAAATATAGTAAAACAGCTATTACTAATTAATCGAAATGAATGAACGCAAAGAAAAGAAAATGAGTCTCGACTGGAATTCAAACTTAGATAGTATCACAACGAATAACTAGCCAGGCACTTCTACCTGGTAAGCCATTGAGACAGTCTGAATACAAATTCACATTATTTGCGAGCATTAATTTTAAAATTTTCGAATTATGAATAATATCCGATTTAACATCTTTTATTCGAATAGGTTGAATTCACTTTTCTTATTACACACTTTAATACTTATTAGTCGTTGTGTGAAAAAAACAGATTGTAAATGATATAAACTATGTAGCTGGTAAAACCGATTACATTCGAACATAATAAAAAATACGAGCAGCAACAACTTAAATATTGAATCCTGTAAAAAGGAGCAAACGCAAGCATCTTCCTAAACGACAGCAGCGCGAATCACCTATATGAAATTAAATACTAAAAACTTATATGCACTTATTTGTGCTTCTTGTAATTGAATCCAAAGACTTTTTGAGGTTTTAAATATGCTCCGTATACATGGAGAAAAAAATCCACTCATACAAATAAAGAAGAAATAACGTATAAAAGAAGCGAAGATCGGTTAGTAAGATCGGATCACAGGGCAAATTAAATTTCTCACAAAGTCATCGGGACCATAAAAGATGCTTCTAAGATAGATGGTATTTAGTTCGATAGATAGGTAGATAGATGGACAAATAGATAGATGAAAAATCAAGTATAGGCACTGAGTTAGATGGGTAATTAACCAGAGAAGCAAAT